CCCTTCAGCATACTGAGAGGTAGCACAGATCTAAATGCCAACCAGTTTTTAATGTGGCGCAGCATTTTAATACAGCGGTGATATTTGAAGGCAATCTGCTGGTTCGTACATAAATGTGTTCCCATGATTTTGTACCTCGTCCATATAAAGATATTTCTGCAGATTTATTTTTCTACGTGTGTTTTTATCTACCGAGCAGTTTTAATCCAATCCGATAAAAAAACAAAAAAATCTACTTTGGGGGCTTTGCTCAGATTCCACTCACGTCCACCCTTTTACCTGTCTCCGCAGAGTAGATGGTGACCACGGGGCTGAAGGGACCCTGTCCTTTGCTGTTGTAAGTGCCAACCTTAACGTGAAACGGAGAGAAGGGCGCGATGCTGTCGTTGCGGTACACGTAGCGCGACGCGCCAGGGGCGGAGGTGGCCACGTGAGTCCAGCTAGCTTCTCCGAAGGCGCGGAAAGCGATGATGTAACCAAAGCTCTCACCATTCTGTAGTTCTTCGGGAACAGGCTGAGAGTGAAACACAAAACTATAGTGATATTAAAACATATACAAACCACTCACGTTCACACCACCGCCGGGCTCACGCAGTCACCACCGTCTCTCATAATGTCAAAAAAAGTGCATGACCCACAAATTGCTTTTGCAACCCACCTGATGAAATAAAAGGAGCAGTAAAAATGCCATTTTAAAAACCTGCGCTCATTACCGACCATCCGTGCAGCTTTTAAAATGAAAAGTTATTCTGTATATAATGAAATGGGAAATCTCCAATGATGAGATAACACAGAAAGTAATGACTTGTACAATGCCAGCACTGTTATTCTTCCATTCGACTCCTTACTGCTATATTTGAGCATTGTAGATTAGTCTGAACAGTAATTCATCACAGATCCGAGACTCACAAATGAGAATATCTGTCAGATTTACTTCTCTGTTGTATACGCTGCTGCTGCCTTACATGCAAGCAATTTGAGAAATTACAGCGACGACAGACTCCCATTGACCCCAAATTTATGACACCCACAAGCAAAACAGAGCAGGTGCTTTGGTTTAGCGAGGAATATTTAGAACCTCGTTTAAGATGAAAACGACACTGACTCCGGGCACTTTGAATAACAGACTAGAGCATAAGACTGATGATTTACCTCCCACGTGATAACCAGTTCATATCTGCTTCCACCACCTCCACCCACATCACCTGGCACTGCATCTGGAACTACAAAACACAGACCATGATCACATTTCAGTATAAAAACACCTATATATAAAGCCGCATAAAGGCAAGTTATAGCACAAAATGGGAAATCAATACGCTGTACCTGCATCCTCTGTCCTGGTCTTCACGGACACTGGGCTGGGTTCTCCGACACCAACGCTGTTTTTTGCCAGTACCCGAAAGTCATATTCAACCCAGGCATTGAGGTCCACCACGGTGGCTGTCAGTGTGTTCCCATCAATCATCTCCGGGACTAAGAATAAAAGAAAACATTGCAGACGGAAGGTCTTTGCAAGAGCCTACATGTATACAAGTGAACAGCTACAACTAAAGCAAGAGAACAATTATGCACACATACACTGTTTAAGCAGCGTAGCCTGGTCAATAAAGTGTTGAATGCAAGCTGGTTTTGAGTCATGACTGTAGAAGGTGGCTGGAGGATAGCGGATTTCAAAGGACAAAGGACAGTAAATGGTTTAACTGTCAG